CGCTTATTATACCTCATCTTTGCAGGGCCTGTCTATTATTTGTCTTCTTTGAGGGCTGGTACAGTGCTTTCATGTAATTCAAATAGTACTATTCATCAGCAACTACCAAGTTATTTACTACCTCTGTGATGTACTACTTTAGAACGTTAAAAATCATCATTAAGATTTCTCGGAGTCTTAAAAACAGTTTCTCTGACACTTAATTTTCTCACAGGGGGTAGTATATTGCGTTTTGAGGGAGGCATTTTGATTTGTTTCTTCGCATAGTCTTGTCCACATCCACAACTAAAACAACTTTTGAAGACAGTCAGGTATAGATGAACATAGTGGATGTATTCAGCCTCTTTTTGAACTCTCTTCACATTGGCAGTAATCAATTCAACATTTACACATTGCATCTCTCACTTATCATTTGCGTCAAAGTGTGTGTTACAAATAAAATACCCTTCCATCCTGTCGCCTGTCAGTAGCTTTAACGACAAATTTCAACATTTCTTTCACAAAAGTTATCTGCGTTCCATCTTCCAACGTTTTATCACAAATAGCCCATTCCCTGCGATGCATTACGCACACGTAATGTTACTGCAAATATTTCCGGTTCATATTTTTCTACAATGAGTTCCCGTTTGTGGCAAACTAACTTAACACTGAGTGCCGATCTCGCACCGGCGCATAATGTTGGGTTATCGCTGAAGAGCCAATCACACGCATGGATGCGTGGGTGGGCAGATATTTTACGAGACTGCGCATGAAATACTTCGTAGAATAATATGGAAGTTATAGATTTCCAGAATTTGCTACAAGGATCTGCTTAACACGTGCGAGAATAGGAATTATCTCTATATCTGTCATTTTCTTAGGAATTTTATAGTACAGGGCTGTCGGAGATTTGCAGAAGTGGTCCAAGTTGGCGTGGAGTACATATGGTAACATGATGAGCCTTTCGGCACATTTAGTATCAGTACTAGAACATTAGTCCGTTGCATGTGGCCCTCCACATTCGCCGCAACGAGGAGGATTACCACAGTTCTTTTTTGTGTGTCCAAATATCTGACAATCTCGATACTGCGCTGGCCTGGGTCTATGACGACTCTCTTCAACCGTAATTTTAGCATCGAACAGTTCTTTTAGTTCATATATTCCCCTGCTTTCTGATGATTTCGTAAGAGTAACTGCACATCAAGGCCAAATCATGCGCCAAAATATTCTCATTAAGAACATTTTCAACCCCAACACCACTCCGAATAAACAATAACCCAATTCCATGGATCTCACACAATGAATCTGTTAAATACCTGGGGCTGAATCTTGATACCAGACTAAATTGGAAAAAATCACATAACAGTAAAAGCACAGCAAGCCAAAATAAAATTAATTCAACTAAAGCCACTCTTAAATCGCAATAGTAAGCTCTCATTAAACAATGCCATCACCATCTATAAATCAATAATTAGACCCCTAATGCTTTATGCATGCCCTATCTGGATCAATGCCTCAAAAACTAATATTAATAAATTACAGATCATCCAAAATAATTTCCTCAGACTTGCCACTCATGCACCCTGGTTCATCTCAAACATTCAACTGCATAAAGAATTTAATTTACCTCCTATACTTTACCATATCGCTCTCCTATCTAACACTTTCTTCTCCAAAATAAACACAATAATCCAAGCCACCCACTACGGCCTAGCCACCACCTACCAGCTCCCAACAAGAATAAAAAATAGATATCCATTAGAATCATTCCTCAGCATATTTTCAGAAGTCAATTAATCACATAGGTGCTCTGTGAGTTTCCTATTCATGTGTAGTTAGATTTAGTTAAAAGATTAGCATTTAAGTTAAATATAAGTCATAAAAAATACATATGATGTAGTATAAATAATACTGAACTATGTATATTCGTTCATTAATAAAGATATATTATATAAAAAAATCAAGGCCAAGGCTTACGATTAGAATCAGTCTGATAACCGTTATTACTGGTAAATTTTTATTTAAAAGTTCTTGATGTATTTCTTCCTCACTATAGGATATTGAGACATTTCGCAGCACCACAGAAATAGTAGTTTTTGTCGGGTCCCTGTAGGTATGATAGTACAACCCTTTCGTTGACAAGTGCTTACAAAGTAAAATAAAGTCTTCATCTGTACTTGTTCTGATTTCAGTATAAGGTCCTCTGATTTTACATGTAACAAAATTTACATGTTTAAGCAATTCCTTAATTTTTTTGCAAGAGTTCTGTATGAACTGGTGGATCATGAATAATGATTGGAGATATCTTAATCAGTTGTGAGGAAGAAGAATCATTTACTGAGGCACCTTGGTCTGGGACAGGGTCGCGTTCAGAATCAAGAGTGGAAAATCTGTTGCCAGCTGGGATGTTATATACAGGCACGTTTGCATTATAAGGCATGCTGGATCCCTGTACATACGAAGCTTGGTTATACACTTCATCTTGCAATCTGGGGCGCTTAAGAGAAGGAGAATGCGCTGTACTTATCTGTGGAGACGGTTTAGAATATCCCACGGGTGGTGTACACAGCTGCGTAAAGGTTAAATTCGCAGGTTGGCTCGCTGCATTTAGCTGATGCTGTTGGTGCTGTAGGTGATTAATTACATGAGGTTCCGCATAATGATAGTCGTTAAGTTCATATACGGCTGGCGACACCACATCTGATAGCGGAGGAAATTATGCATTCGTGTTTTCTGCCATTGTTGGATTGAACATTAACCACACGAAACTATATTCACTTCTGAGTACTCGTCTATGAAAAGAAAAAACACAACAAAGATGTATGTATTGTATGTAGCCCGAGAGGGCCCGTAGACGGATAGACAACACCTCGTGCTGATATTCCTAGAAATAGCACTGACTGAAATGCACTTCACTGCACTAAGATATTTAAACAAGTCACTCGCTTGCTGAACGGTCGTAACACGACCCCGCTGGGGCACTTCTTATCACTGGTCTCAGTCGAGGTACTGCGGAGCGATAGGTGGCGGTCGAGGTGTGCACCGTTCGGTAGGCGAGCGCGGAATGAAAATTAAAATTTGGATTTCAAATTCAAGGGGCTGTGACATCAGCCAGACCGAAATATCCATTTCATTCCATCCTTTCACTTCAGACGGACGGACGGATGGACGGACGATTTGTTGTCAATCGACTTTTCAGTATTCAGGACCCACTATCAGTTACCAAATATTGGAATAAAAAGAGATGCAGTCGAGAAATTGTTATCATACCCGACCGTCAACAAAGTCTTGAAAGTGAAACAGCAGTGCTACCCTAAAGGTATAAGGCAAAAGCTGAGGTTAAAAGACAAAATCTTCTCGGTCATACTGCTCAACGATAGTTCAGAACAAAGTTATCAGTCGAGTTGTACATGAGTACGAGAATTTCACTTTGGTTTAAAGAGATTTTGATGGAAATTCTAACAACTCAAACTACAAACAAACACGGGATCATTTGGATTTAAATGACTCATTCCTGGGTCAGAAAGGAGATTCTTCAGAGAGTGATGTTGATGAACATCGTCTGTGCTCGTCCACGCCTTCTATTTCATAATATAATGTTATTTTCTTGCTACCCATGACGCAGTTTTGACAGTATTGTAATGCTGCGGGAAAAATGGCGAATTTTCCTAAGAAAAACTATTATTGCTGGAGTCTCCGCTTAAAAAATATCAAAAATAATAATGTATTTAAAATGTTGGTATCGTACGTACGTACGTACAGATGACATAAACTCCATATTGTTCCATTATTTTATAGAGTTTCCAAAATTACACAATTGTAACTTTTTTTGACATCTCTCTCAAGCCGTTAATATTTACGTTACCGGCGATTTATACCCATTACCGCATTTATGAATGAGTAAAGTGCTTTAAATGATGTCTTATAACGTTTCTTCGTATAAAAATTCTAATGTTTTCTGTGAAAAATTTCCATATGGTACGACACTTTACTCGTCTAAAATATGTTTCAGATCTACCATTAGGGAACCGAAAGATTGAAAAAAAAACAACTGAAAAATGTAATTTGGACGGCGATGGATGGCATCTGGGTGGGGCAAAACCGAAAATTTAATCCAGATCAAAGAAAATAGAAAATTAACTATTACGAGAAAGTCTGTGACTTTCTGTAGCACCACACATTTATTGTAGTATAGCTCCATTACTCAATATGTTTGACAAAATACAGTCTAACCTCCATTCGTAGAATCTGACGGTTCCTTTTTTATAATATTCGGTATGTAGAAACTTCGATGTATAGAAAGTTTCCAAACTTCTCCTACAGATTTAAGATAAAAAAATTGCGTTTTCATTGTAGTCGAAACTGTATCGGGAGGGCCATAAGACAAAGGGGCACGCGATTGACCTTCAGATAGCTTTGGCGTACTCATTCCCACGATTGACAAGTTCCCTCGGAGAGGGAAGGAGTGAGTTAACTTCATGAAAAAGCTGGTAATTGGACGCATAAAACGCGTTGGTGCTTATAAACATTAATTCAACTGTAAACCGTCCAGAAGGAAGTTATATTTTGCGCAGTAGTAATACTCTCTTTCCAAATTAACCAGTACTCATTTTTATTAATATAATATATAGTATGTACTGTACATTTTTATTTCGTAGAAAAAATGGTCAAATCAGATAATTATTTCAATTTATAGAAATACTTTTTCATGTATAGACATGTTTTTAAACAGAATTTTCAAGGGACTGAAAAATAACTTAATTCATAGAGAATTTCGATATGTGGAGGTTCGACTGTTTACCACATTCTTTTCCATGTCATCTTCATACAAATTAGTAATTATCTTATAAGAGAAGAAAACGCACAATCACCTGTTTAATTCCACCTTGATTTTTTTAAACACGACGAACTTTCAGAGTTCAATATCTCAAAATGAGTATCAGTGAACTTGTTCCACAATTAGAATACCTCCTCGAACTATTATAAAATTAATATTTTTGTTTTGATGTCTTGTGTTTCAGTATCATCGTGGAAGTAACTGGGGGATTCGTGCTATTAATTCTACTAATCATCGCGTGTCTTTGCCATTATTCAGGTGAGTACGTGAGTTAAGGGTTCATCACGTTTGAAATGATAATATTGAACATTTCGTTTGTGCTTGTGTTTTGTTGAGAACATGATACGAATATTGTTTTCCAACTCACACAAGTACACACACACGTACACACACACGTACACACACACGTACACACACACGTACACACACACGTACACAC